TTTAAAAAACCAAGTGGGGTTTATGTGGGCATAAGTAATCTTAGGTTAAAATAATGAGTGTATAACATAAATCTACAATAGTTACTTCATCAGCACATACAATGACTGGTGAATTTGAGTGACATATTGCCATTATTTTTCAAGCCACTCATATTCATTGGGGAAATTAAACAATGACACAGACATTAATTATTTGAATAGAGCAAAGATTTTGATAAAGAGTATAAATTACTTAATTGAAACAAAAATGAGCTGTAAATACTTCTTTATGCTCTGCATTTTATGACATTTTGGACATTGTTGCAGAAGATCTTACTGAGAATGCAGTACACTATTCTGTATATACTGTTTACCACACACATTTATTTTACACAGGTGGGTTTTCTTTCTCTGTGCCAAAAAAAAAAAACATTGTAATGTCCAGTATGTTTGATATTGTATATATTTTCCACATATAAGTTACAAATATTCACATGCCCACTACTTAAAAATTGTAATGTTGAATTAAAGTACTTAAAATGCCTATTTCTTTTTATTTTAGTAAATTTCTCAGTTCCATTTTATTTGATTAAAACATTTTGATAATTTCCATGTAGATGTTTACTGATCAAAAGCTGAAATTATTAAAGTTTTGTCTGCATATTCAAATTGATCAATAACTACCTCTACCACTGAAGGTGATGGGGTTATGTTTTCACTTGTGTATGTTTGTCAGCACGATTTATCGAAAATTGTTAAATGGATTTGGACGAACGTTGGTGTGCATTTGGACTATGACCTAACTTAGGAGTGATTAGTTTTTGGAGGGTCAAGGTCACAGCAAAGTCAGAGAAATAATAAAAACTATCTGTTAACATATGAACCAATTTTTCTCAATAATTTTTGCTCTATAGCTCAGTCAAAAATGATCGGATTTTTTATGAAACTTGATGGACATGTGTAGAATATTATTCCTCATTGTCCTAACAAAAATGGTCCATGTCCATTGATAGCAATGGACATACAGACACATTTTTGCATTTTTTGAGGGCCAAGTATGATCAACACTGTATGGTGTAGGTATGCTCTCTTCTGTGTGCCCCTCTTGTTTGCTCATATTTAGTTCAAACTCAAAGTTTGTGAAACTTGATTGTTGTATTTCTGTGAAAATGCATAGCTTGAATGAAGCTTTTAGAATACTGAAGTATTCATATATTCATGTTTATATATTTATCTTTTCAAAATTATAACACTTGATATGAATGACTTTCCAATTATTGATACTTTTCAGTTATTATTACTTAGTAATAAGTGAGCTTGAAATGTATACAAAAAAAAATAACTAACAACTGTAATAGATGTAAATTTTATCAGGTGTTTATTTTTTTCTAAATTTAATTTTTACCCTTCTATAAATGCTTTGTTTATATGTTTGTATGAGTTTTTGTGCCTATTGTAAAATAGTAGGAGCAAACAGATTTCATATTATATTTTTTTACAGTTTGTATATATGGAGATTGAGAGAAGACTAGAACGAGTTAAAAATATCACACATGAACCAGTTCTATTAAAAGAGGAAGAGGACTTATTGTTTAAAACTTTTAAACCAATTTTTCCAAGTAAGAATATTTTTCAGTGTGCTTGTATATGGAGCAGTATTTTCTCCCTCAAATTAACTTTAGATAATTGATTCCCTGTTTAAAATTATGCATTTGGAATGTAGTATGTACTGGTAAGAATGTCACAATTCTCAGCTGTTTACACTGTATCTTTAAATACACTGATATCTTTGTTACTTTCTAAACTGTCCTTGACTTACACTGAGATTACCTTTTGCTACTTCACGGGTATTACTGTGTAGAGCTGGGCAGTTATTGGCATTTGATAATTGATTAACCAATGGGCTCATTAATCAATTCAATGTGATTAATAGATTAGTACACCACACCCACTACAACGCACACCAGTAAAAAAATATGTATATTTATAAATTGACTTAACTATATGTAGTTAAACACTAAAGT